AAAAGATTTTATTTATTTATTTGAGAGTGAGAGCGAGAGAGCACAAACTGGGGGGGAGAGGGGCAGAGGGAGAAGCAGACTCCCCACTGAGCAGGGAGCCTGACGCGGGGCTCGATCCCAGGACCCTGGACCATGACTTGAGCCAAAGGCAGACGCTTAACTGACTGAGCCACCCAGGCACCCCCCAGCTCACTAGGAATTTAAAAGATAAAGCACCAGAGCTCCAGGAGTGCAGAATTTAAGAAAATGGGCAAAGAAATCACACCGACCTGGGTTCAAATTCCAGCTCTGCCACTTTGAGGCCGAGGGACCTTCGGCACATTATTTGATCTCTCCGTGCCTCGGTTTCCTCCTCTGTGGAAGAGAGAGGATCATAGAACCTGCCCTCGAAGGGCTGGTGGGCAATGGGGGTCAAAGTCTTAGCGCGGCGCCCGCCATATAGTAAGCACTCCAGAACGAGCTGCCGTCATTAGGAGTTAACGACTGGAATAAATTAGCAATGTCCTTTGTCGATGTTAACATTTTTGGTTGCTAATTAGTAATTGTCACATCAGCCATATTAACAGTTAACCCTGTGCCCATCCCCAGAGGTGTCTGAGAAGCTCACAGTCTTCTGTGCTCTGGGGGAAGGCTGGGAAGCGGATGTAGGATGTAAGGGTTTTGGGAGGAGGCCTTAGCAAATGGGCATCTCCCATTTCCTGAGGGTTTGCTCTGCACCTGGTGCTGTCCCGAGAGTTCTCCCTGTGTGATCCCAGTTCCTCGTCCCCGTACCCATTCTCAGCCCATTGAACAGAAGAAGAAACCGAGGCTCAGGGTGTGTGCTTCCCCCACCCCTCCCTCCTGCAGGGACCCCCTCCCCAGGTCCTCCCCACCTTACCCGAGCAGGTTAGCGACCCGGGGATTTCGGTCAATGGCTTGCAGCAGATCTTGGGCCCGGCTCCCCGAGGTAGGTCCCGCATTACAACTGTCATGCCGAGTCCGTGCTGCGTGGTCCGTGAGCGGGGGGGCCAAGGAGGGGTAAACAAGTTAGCAGGTGTTTTATTTTACCTTAAGGTGGCTTGCCAGTTCTTAGAGTGTAAACGTGCCTCGTGACTTTCCTACAAGGGAGGAGCCGATAGCCCCACTATCCATATAGGGAAACTGAGGCCGGCAGGGTAATAATGGCCAGAGATATTCTTTGCCATGGTTAGCTACCAGCCAGGCACTGCTCTGGGTGTTTGACACAGAATAATGCATCTACGCTCACAGCAGCTCTTTCATGGGTGTTATATTGAGCCTCTGGCACATACAAGGAAACTGAGGCACACGTGCTTAAGTGACATGCCCAAGGCCTGGGCCATGAACAACTCCATGGCTTCACAGGATGGCAGGGGGACAGCATGGGCCGAGGGGGCTGGGTGGGCTCCCCTCGCCGCCCTCCCCCCGCCCCACCGCCCCTCACCTGTGGGACCTTGACTCCTGGCCGCCCAGACCTGCTGGAGAAGTCGCGGGCCATCCGCCAGGCCAAGGACGAGTGCAGCTTCCACATCTTCTACCAGCTGCTGGGAGGCGCGGGGGAGCAGCTCAAAGGTTGGTGCTGTGGCTCACGGGGAGTAGGGGGCAGGGGGAGCCCCTGGCTTCTCTGGACCCCGGGAGGAGGAACTGGGAGGCAGTCAGTAGGATTTGTCAGGCACCTGCTTTAGGTCAGGCTCCCGCTGGGCAGTGAATTCTGGCGCCTCCCCCGGAGCCCGCTGCCCCAGGTTTCTGCCACGCCGGGACCTTGACGTCGTGACTTTGGCCGAGGAGAGAATCCCGCCGCCCCTGGCCCCTCGGCGTCCCCGCCGGCCCATGCTGCTGGCCGGCCCTGCTGCTGTCTGGTCCCAGCTTCCTCGTGGGTCCCGGGCTGCCGTTCAGGCTGCTTCTCTTCTGAAACTGCAGGCCCTCTGCCTACCCCACAGGGGTGACACCACGACTCTAGCTCTGCTGCAGCCCCTGCTGCCTCGTGGTCCTGGCGGTCCTGGTTTGTGCGGCTTCGCCGTGCCCTTCACTCTGCCTCCCGCCTGAGCTCCCGCCTGTCTCCTCCTTGCTCCTCCCACCCTCTGGCTGAAGAGAGTCCAGGCCTCTCCTTTACAGGGCCCCTGCTGTCCCGAGGCTCCTTGCCCCATAGCCTTGGCTGCCCCCCGGCCCCTCCTTCCCCAGATCTGGGACCCCCACGCCTTCTGTCGCCAGCCCTGCTGTCCCACGGCTTCTGCCAGTTCAGGCACCTGCGGCCCCTTTGCTTCTGCAGCTCCTGCCTGCTCTGGGCAGTTCTAGGACTTGACAATCCCTAGGGAGTGGGCTAAGCAACCCCCTCCATGCCTGGCCCTTCCCATCAAACCGTGAGGAGAGGATCCTCACTCATGTGACAGAGGAAGAGACCGAGGTCCCCAGTGGGGGGAGGTGAACACTTGCCCCCGGGGTGGCCGTTGGGACGTGAGTCTGACTCCACAGCTCACCCTTGACCTTGGCCTCCACTCCTTACCCCCTGCAGCTGACCTCCTTCTGGAGCCTTGCTCCCACTACCGCTTCCTGACCAACGGGCCGTCATCATCTCCCAGCCAGGAGCGGGAGCTCTTCCATGAGACACTGGAGTCACTGAAGGTCCTGGGATTCACCCCGGACGAAATCACCTGTGAGTGAGCCCTGAGCCCCCGCGAAGGGTGGGGCTGGGGCAGCGCACGGGCAGGCAGGGGACCTGGACATGCAGTCCTCTCTGGTTGGGAAAAAGATACAGGGATTGGAGGAGGGAGGAAGTACAGCTTTAAGGAGGGGATCGGGAAGGGGACACAGAGAGGGTGACCTCTGAGCCAAGGCCTGAGGAGCCGAGAGGGTGAGTATTGGTGGTAGCAGGTTGTTACCCCCCCCAAATAAATGGATTTATTCGGGAATAGTGGAGAATTGTAATTTGGGACAAGCAGGCTACGATAGGAATCCAGCAAGGGATAGGAATTTTATCTTACGGAGTTGAGAAGGAAGTAGGAAGACGTTGTTTTGAACGAAAGTCCTCTGGAGAAAAGCAAGAGTTGAGGGTGTTGACGGTTTCTCTGGCTGAGCTGCTGGGGCGGCCAATTTCTTGTAGGAGATGCAATGTACATCTTTCCCTGTTCGGGCCTGTCACTGAGGATGCTTTCCTGTTGAGGATTCTTCTGCTGGTGTCTCTACTTAACATTGGGTAGTGTGGCTCCCACTTCCAGCCTCCCCTTCTAGGCTCCCGCGTCTGCTTTTGTGAGGTTTCCCTTGCTAATTTTCAGAGAGAGAGAAGAGCCTTCTAGGCCAGGGGGACAGCCTGTGCAAAGGCCCTGGGGCAGAAAGGCATGGCGTGTTTGAGGAATCAAAGCTTCTAGAGTGGATTCGGTCTAGCGTGTGACTGAAGGGTGAGGAGATGGACCTGCTGAGGCAGGCTGGGCCTCAGACACCAGACTGAGGGGCTGGGGCTTGGTTCTGGGGGCACTGGGGAGCCATGGGAGAGCTGGGAGCAGGGCAGAGGCCCCTCTGAGCTGTATGGAGGACGTGTCGGAAGCCAGGAGGAGGCTGGAGTAAAGGTGCAGGGAAGACCCTGACTGTGGCCCTCGTTGGTGTGCCCCAGGTGGCCCTGGAACGAAATACTTGGCTCATTCCCCGGGTGGCGATGCTTTGCTTCCCACTGGTTTTCACCAGATCGTATGTTTTGACAGTAGTTCAGCAGAAGTGCTGTATTTGTTTGCTCGGGCCGCTGTAACAAAGCACCACAGGCTGAGTGCCTTCAGCAGCAGAAATGGACCGTCTCCCAGTTCTGGAGGCCAGAATGCTGAGCTCCAGGTGTTGGCAGGGTTGCTCCATCCTGGGAGAATCTGTCTGTCCCCTGCCTCGCTCCCAGATTCTGGTGGTTTCCTGGCAAACTTCGGTGTTCCTTGGCATGGCAAAGCATCACACGAGCTCTGCCGTCGTCTTCATGGGGCTTCTCCCCATTCGCACATCTGTGTGTTCAAACTCCCCCGCCTTTCTATAAAGCCACCCGTCGCGTGGGGTTAGGGGCCACCCTACTCCACTGTGATCTCGTCTTGACTTAAAGAATTCCATCTGAAATGACCCAATACCCAAAGAAGGCCACACTCTGAGAGGGCTTGGGCGTTAGGACGTCGACATACCTGTTTTTGGGGGAGAGGGTATGATTCGACCCATAACAAGTACGTGTAGGTGGACCCGTCTTTTTGCAACCGCCAGACTGTTCATCGTTTGGATGAACTTGGAGTCCCGTGGAGAAATCCTCTCTGGCACTGCGGGAGGCCCTGGGAGCTATTGTTGGCTCTAGGGCCAATTGGGAGGGCTGGAACCCAAGCGAGCACCAGCTTGGCTGTCTCTCCGGGCTGCAGACAGAGTCCGGCCTTCTTGGCAATTGACACAGGGTCCCAGGCCTCCCCTGCTGGATTTCCTAACCGTGGTTGTGAAACTTCCTCCGCCTGGTGAGTATCTGCTCTCCTCCAGGGGCAGCTGACAAACAAATCCAGATGGCGGCCACAGCGGGGGCCTGGCTTCCCAACACAAGTCACCTCAAGTAACCCTCCCCAGGGCAGCCCCGCTGCTTGGTGGGCGTGGGCAGCAGCTCCGATTCTTGCAATTCTGAGACAAAACTTTGGAAGTGACATATGTGTGTGGTGACATAATCTGGATGTGCCAAAGGTCGTAGTGTGGAAACCAGGTCTCCTGCAGGGCCCCAAGCCCTACTTTCCCCCGGCTTCCCGCACATCCTTCAGAAATATTTTAGACATTTAGGAAAGGGCACACATTATTTTTCCTTCTTTCTTTCCTTCCTTCCTCCCTAGCCTGCCTCCCTCCTTTCTTTCTTTCTTCCTTCCTTCCTTTCTTTCCTTCTTTCTTTCTTTCTTTCTTTCTTTTTTTCTTTCTTTCTCTTTCTTTCTTTCTTCCTTTCTATCCTTCCTTCCTTCCTTCCTCTCCTTCTTTCCTTCCTCCCTCCCTCCCTTTCTTCTTTCCTTTCTTTGTCAGAGAGAGAGAACACAAGCAGGGGGAGTGGCAGAGGGAGAGGGAGAAGCAGGCTCCCCTCCAAGCAAGGAGCCAGACACCACACGGGGGCTCGATCCTGAGCCAAAGGCAGACGCTTAACCAGATGAGGCCCTAGGCATCCCCACATTATTTTTCTATAAAACAAGGCATTCCGTGGTCCCAGGGCTGATGTTCAGCCGTACCGGTAATAAAAATGGTAAGATATTTTTCTACTGAATTTAAAAGGTCCCCTGCAGGGGTGCCTGGGTGGCTCAGTGGGTAAAGCGGCCGATTCTCGATTTCGGCTCAGGTCTTGATCTCAGGGTTGTGAGTTTAAGCCCCGAGTTGGGCCCCACACTGGGCGTAGAGCCTACATAAAACAAAACAAAACAAAACAAAAAAACGTCCCCTGCAGTTGTTGCTGTAAGTGAACCTCATCTCCTTGACCTTCTTTCCAGGACCATCCCAGATACAGCAACGAACAGTTGAAAATCACGTGGCACATCAGGGGGCGGTGTTGGGGTTAAGGACTCCACCCCTTTGCTGGTGTGCTTTGTGCCCTGCATTTCTCAGCAGACAGTATATTTTAGCGATAATTCTGGTTTTCTATGTAGACTTTAGTGTGTGTGTGTGTGGGGGGGTGCTGCGTAAGATTTCATTGTTTAAATGGCCTATGATTCTTTTAACCAGTCTCTGTCCCTTGCAGACAGACCTTTAGGGTGTTTGCACCCATTGCTATCAGAATGACCCCCCCCCCAGAAAAAAAGAGCTGCCAAGAATATCCTTGTAAGGAGCTCTCTGTGCTCATGTGTCAAAAGAACAGTAGGATCAATTCTTAGAAGCGAAATGCTGGGTCTAAGGAGAAGGTGCGCTTTTTGTTTTTAATCCAGCTTTAAGGAAAGTGTGACAGCGGGATTGAGCTCAGATTCGCATACTCTAACACTCACCTGGTGACAGTGTACAAGGCAGGAGCTTTCAGTCTGTTCACAGAGTTGGGCTACCCATCCCCCGAGGCAAGTCTAGAACCCTTTCAGTGGCCCAAGAGGATAGCTTGCGCCTTTGGCATTGGTCAGCTGCCTGTTTCCAGCGCCAGCCGTTGGCAACTGGTAGACGGCTTCCTGTCCCTGTGGATTTGCCCATCCTGGCCCTTTCATGTAAGTGGGATCATACAATACGGCGGCCCTGGTGGCTGGCTGCTTTTACTCCACATGATGGTTTCAGGTTCATCCATGGGGTACCATGTGTCAGTGTTTCATTCCTGGTTATTGCTGAATAGTTTTGACTTTTATCTTTCTATTACGGACACCAGGTCCGATAATCAATCAGCCACTTGTGGCTTCTTGGGTTTTGCCTCGAACCCCCCATCCCCCACCCCCAGGGCTCCGAGTGTTTTTTAAATTGTAGAGAATCCACTTCATCACGGTCCAGAAGGTGGCGCTAGGTTCCATTTCCACCCGCCCTGTCCCTGGAGTGCTGTTTCCCTTCATGCACGCCAGCAACCACTGCTGTAAGCTTTTTGGTTTTTGCCGGTGTGGTAGGTGGATGGGGTCTCATGGTTTTATTTGGTGTTTTACTTACAAAGAGTGGAGCCAGCCGGTCACCTTTTTTTTTTTTTTTTAAAGTTTTATTTACCATTTATTTGGGAGAGAGAGCGAGCTAGAGAGCAAGCAGGGGGAGGAACAGAGGGAGAGGGACAAGCAGACTCCACGCCGAGCAGGAGCCCAACGCGGGGCTCGATCTCACGACTCTGAGATCATGACCCGAGTGAAACCAAGAGTCGGATGCTTAACTGACTGAGCCACCCAGCCATCCCGCGGTCACCTTCTCATAGACTCCTTTTGACAAAAGAGGAGACAGAGGTCCAGGGAGGTGGGGTGTCTGCCCTACGACTCCCCCCAGATGACAAGGACATGATGGAATCCGGGTCTGACTCCAAAGCCCCACGATCCGTTTTTAGAGAGGCAGGTGGGCGACAGTGGGAAGCCCAGCGCGGAGAGCCCCGGGGACCAGTCCAAGCAGGACCTCCACCCTCCTCCCCGCTTCCTGTCTTCCCTAGTGCTGGCACCACGAATTCCACTCCTAAGAGGCTGTGCAGGGAGCCTGGCACTTGGGGAGGCGTGTGCTCGCTCCGGTGAGCAGCCCATGGCGTCACAGCCCCATGCCCCTGCAGGCCTGGGCTTGCTTGCCATCAGCTGGTCTGAAGTCACCCGCAAGAGCTAACTGCCAACTTCTCAGGTGTCAGATTCGCCTGGGTGCTTGGCACCGATGCAAGGTCCTAAGCCAACTGTCAGAGGCCGTTTTTAAGGCCACTGGGAGGGGGAGGACTTAAGTCTGGGCTGGGTCTGAGCGGAGGTTAAGGAATGAATGATCATTCAGTTTGTTAGGTGATGATGCCATTGTGGCTCTATAAGGAGAGGTCTTTGTTTATTTATCTTTTTGAGGGTGCTCTGCTGTCCTCTGGGAAACTCCCAGAACTGCCAGGGCTCTGGGCAGCCCCGGCCACCCTTTCCTCCCGACCCCAGATGGGCAGGACCAGAGGTCTCTGAGCCCAGCCCCTCTCGCTGCCCAGCCAGGGAAACTGAGGCCCAGGAGGTCACCCAGCTTGTCCAAGGTCACACAGCAAACTCCCACATCCAGTAATGTATGTATCCC